AAAAAAAAAAAAAAAAAAAAAAAAAAAAAAAAAAAAAAAAAAAAAGTAAGTTCCCCAGAATAGCTGAAAGCTTCAATGTAACAGAAATCTGGAAAAAAAAACGACCACCAAAACTTACGGAAGTATAGCTACAGAGAGACAGGGAGAAATGGAGTGAAATGAATATATTTTGCTGTAATGTTTCTATTTATTAACTTTAATAATTAATAAGTTCTTGTTTCACTTTGTCAGTTCCCACCTTGTTTCAGGTTTTTAATGAAAATAGAGCTCATATGAACTAGATACAGCATATCAGCAGTATTTTTGTGGAGGTAAATATTGCACTGGATAGAATTGAACACAGTAATGGTATTCCCTGTATCTCCTTGTTCAATCATTAATTCTTTATATTAAAAGTCTTGCAATACTATGTCAAATTTAACAATATTTGAACATTGTTATGATATAGTAAAATGTTGCTGAACAAATCTTCTCTTTCACTACTTTGTGTGGTGGTATATTGATTTGTAAACTTGCATAAATTTTGGAATTAAAGAAATACTGTGGTTTGGATTATTATTTTAGCTGGTGTGATTTCAAACAAAAATATATCAATGACTTGTTTGAATAGGCATCTGACTGTGTGGTCACATGAGAAGGGTGTGGAGATGCCACATGCTTAATTGCTTGCAACCATTTAAATAGCTTTTAAGACTTTTTTTTTTTTTTTTCCTAAAAGAGAAAGAGAATTCCATTTACAACCAAACTGTAAATCTGATAGAGGCACAAGAATGCTGTAGAACACATTGCTGTATGCTCAGGAGCTAATAAACTGTGTCCCTTCCCAGCATTTTACAGAATAGCTCAAACAGTAAATCAAGACATTACTAGTATGCCATGCTTTGTGGACCCAACTGTACCTTAAACACGGAGCACTCAAGAACATGCATGCCTTTGGTAGAGCTGCAATTTGCCAGGGCAAGGTACTACTCACTAGTGGAGTCATTGCACGGATGCCTCCTCCTGTCAAGTCCACATGGACACTTCTGAGAGATGACTGCAGTAAGGAAGGTTGATAACCCCTCCACACCAGTGTTCCAGTAGTGTCTTCGGAGGGTCCAGTAAAGCCAGAAGGTTCTTATGAGCTGAATATACTGTAAGGTGGCCACAATCACCTAAAATGAAATTTTCACGGGAATTCATTGGAATTAAAATTTTGCAGCATTTAATGGAGAGTATCACCTGTTAATATGCACTGGGCCAGTTCTTAGACTTTATGGTTTCTATTAATTTGCTTGGACATAGGAACAAACTATGCTCAAAGTAACTTGCTGGTATTTCATTCAGTGTTCCTATTTACAAGTAAACTAAGGCAAACAAAATTCAAGTCTTGTTGGTTCCCCACTGCCTGGCATGCTAGGTAGTTACTGGAAACTACACAAAATGTATCTGAAACATTTTCAGCTTAGAATTGCTGTCCCTTTAAAATGTACTTTCCATTACTTTCAAAAGATGTAAGGCTGTGGAGAATCAATACCAATAACTTTTCAGCTTATGGAAGGAGTATTTTACATAACAGTTGTAAAATGGATGCATCTACCTGTACTTTGGCAAC